CACCTGATTATCCTCATGTTCGTAATGTTGGGTCAGATTAGCATGACTCCTCACAACCTCTACCTGTGGTCCCGTCGAGTGTACCTCTGGGACGAGAACCAATACAGCTTGTACTCGACCATTAACCAAGTAATAGAACAAACCATGAGTCTCATCGCAGCTCCTGTGTTGCACAAATTGGCCGTGCACGACTGTTTGATGGGAGCTGGCACGTCGTTTCTCAGTTTTCTGAAGATGCTCACGCTCGGCCTGACAACCTCCCCGTCCCAGTGGTGGGTCATTTACCTCTTCGTCATCATACCTAATGCAATTACTTCTGCTGCCATCAGAGCTCAGATGTCTAAGGTAAATAATGGATATAGGCCATAAACCGTGCCTTTTATTTTATTAGTTTGCCATGATATATTTGACCTTTTTCCTCACATGTTTCAATAGTTATAATACGTGTTGCTGTTTGTCACTGACGTTGATATAAAAGGAAAATCACTGATCAAGGCAAAACCCTTTATATAACCTTTATATAAACACATTATCTTGAAAAGTGAAGACTGACATGAATTAGTTCGTTTTCATCCATGCCCTTTCTACATGAACTCCCAACGGAAACTCTCAGATATGCAACGCGGACGAGGTAGGTCGCGTGTTCTCCATGTTGGCCATCTTGGAGGTGTTGTGGCCACTCGCCGACAGCGCCATCTATACCGCCGTCTACACCTCGACCTTGGACTTCTACCCTTCGTACGAACACCTCGTCGCCGCCTTGTGCGGGGTCTTCGTCCTCGGCGGCTTCCTTGGCCTCAGACTCTCGCTGGAACACGTGAAGAATCGGGCTGCTGAAGAGGAACTAGCAAAGGTGGAGGACCCCGTCAAGTCCTGCTGAGGGCAAGGTCGAAATCTGTGGGGACTTCCTTTCCTGTTTCTCATTCCGTAGGAGGCGAATTCAAAGTTAGTATACCACATAGTATACCTATCTGTCTCTCTACACGCACACACAAAGACACAAAGACACACACACACACACACACAAACACACACACACACACACACACACACACACACACACACACACACACACACACACACACACACACACACACACACACACACACATACACACACACAGTGGTAGCGTTTTCGGTTGGGAATCTCGCTTAACTGTCAGAGTGGGGTAACCTCAGCCACTCCTTGCACACAGGGTCCCTTGTGATGGCCAGAGATATAGAAAAGCTTGAAAACAGTAGATGATATACTGGTTAAAAGCTTTTTTTTATTATGGGATTTCATAATAAGTTAAGGATAATCGTGATATTCTATAATGAGGAAAATTGAGAAAATCCATATTTATAGTGAATATTAAAATGTTGATAACAACAATTTTGATAACAAAATATAAAGAATCATGAAAGAAATGAACATCGCACGATAACTCGATGATTGTTTATTGATAACGTACATGGGTTTTCCTTATTGAGTTTGCCTTATATATATGTATATGTATGTATATATATATATTTATGTATATGTATGTATATGTCTCTCTCTCTCTTTCACTCCTTTCCCTCCCTCCGTCCCTCATCTCTCCCTTTTTCTCTCTCTCCCCCATCTTTCTCTCTCCCTCTCCCCCTCGTCCCCCTTCTAACTCTCACCCTTCCTTTCCCCTTTCCTTCCCTCCCCTCCTGTCTCCCTCTCCCTTCCCCCTCTCACTCTCCCCCTCCCTCCACCCCCCTCTCTCTGACACACACACATATACACATGTACGTATGCATGTCTGTATTCGGCAGTTCAGCTGGACATTCTCACAAGCCGAAAAAGTGATTTGTACCGTTTGTCATTTTACTAACTAATGTTGGTTTTAGAAATGAATTTATATGTACAATAGGAAAATATGTCATGGTGCCCACTCTGTTTGCTATGGCTAGTCTTGCTATTTTTCTGTTATATAATGTTATTGCTGTTCCTCTTACTATGAATGTTCTAATCATATCATTATTAATAGATACTGTTATTGTTATTATTCTTATCATCATTGTTTTTTATTATTGCTATTATTTTTGTATTAGTGTTAACATCATTACTATTATCGATATCATTATTATTGATATTGTTGTTATGATAGTAGTATTAATAACAATAATAGTAATAATAATAACAAATATAACAATAATGATAATTATGATAAAGATGATGATAGTAATAATAATTATCATCACTATTATCATTATTATTATCGTTCTCATTATTTCCGACTGCATCTTCATTACCATTGCTCTTATTATCATCACCATCATCATCAATATTATCACTGTTCCTATCCATCATCATGACCGTCACCACATCGTCACCATTTTCTTATCATTATCATTGTTTTTCTAACACTTCTTCCATCATCATAATTTCCTGACGTATCATGTTCCACAATACTCTCATTCGGTTTAGTTATAAGAAATTATTCAACCGCCACTATTCATGAATATTAATTCAGTTGTGTAATATCTTCATA